AAGGAATCGTAATGGAAAGTACAGAAAAAATTAGAAGTGATTACTAGTTTGAGACATTGATGTGTAGGTTTTTAATTTAGGGATATTACGACAATGGTCCCCCGAGGATGGAGTTGATAACAAAAGACCCGAAAGAACTTTCAAACATGCCAAAAGCTCTCATGATATTATAAAAACACTCACATTTGCCCCTTAAATTTAATACCAAATCAAAATTAGGGGGGGCATGGGGATGTAATTTTTAAAAAAAAATCGGATATTGTAATCAGAATAAATCTCAGGGAGTTTTCGTAATTATCCCTTTAATACATCCTTGCATGAAACGAGCCAAAGCCTTAGAAACGAAAAAAAAAAAACAAGTCAAATTGATATAATATATTTCATGAGAGTCGAGTTTTCGGGCATACGGTCATTCTATTAGTCACTGTGTGATTGCGCATCTTTGAGAAAACCTGCCCTTTCCAATTGATGCCATTGCCGACATGAAAACCTCCTCTCGTGACCACCTAATTAGAGATTCGAAGTAACGATAGATTCAGAATAAGTACACTAACAACTGATTTTTCACATTCTCTAACGAAGAATTAATACATGCATTTCTCACCTCACGGTACAAATTAAAGAGATCAAGACGCTTTGCATTGAGAATGGCATCTGGGAACTCGGCAAGCCCACCTTGGGGAATGAGACGATTATGCCCTCGGAGTATGAGAAATTGCATTACATCCTTCAGAAATTCTTCCTACACGCATGAATTAATTGATAGAAATAAAAAAAAATGATTTAATGAGACCAAGTAAATAAAGAAACAAGAGAAGTTGCATTGTTTAAACATGGCAATCTAACTAATGAACACTAAAATATTTGAGATGTTTTCAGTGTTTGGCCTATAATCAAATTACAATGTTAAATATTTCAGGTTAGCCAACACGAGATTTTCATAACTCACATATCAAATAACTAATAACAAAAATTACATTGAGTTCGTCTCCACCATTTTAAAAAATTACTAGACTACCCTCCACAGGTAATATGAACACCTTATGCAACTAATGTATAATCGAAAAGAATACCATCATAATCACAAAAGATGACTGGAGCTTTTCGTAATTAGATATAATGGCAATTTTTGCAGTTGACTCATCATTAATCAACAGATACAATATTAGACCAAAAGCAAGACAAACAGAAAGGGACAAATTTTTTTACCTCAGAGCAAACATGCAAAGAGCTCCTTTCACAACCGTGCTTCTTTAAAGGAAGTGGATTCAATGATATGACCTGCTTTGCCTGATATGAACTCGAAGCTGATTTTCGATTGGACACTGGATTTCCTCCAACACTACTGTGTTTTACCGGAACACTAGGCAAGTTGGATTTCATCTGAATACCATCGTTCAAATCCATATCCACAAGTCTTGAAAAAGGAAGCATCTTTTGGTGCCGGACGTGTGGAATGGGCCTTAGGGCAGCTATTTTAAACTTTTGCATACCGGGGGAGATGGGCCCACTAAGCCCATTCGACCCGATTTCCTTAGTCTCGTTATTGTTTTCTTGTTTGATGCCGGTTTGAATGGTGTTTTGGGAAATCGAGGGTCTTTTTCGACTTGGAGGAGGTGGTTTTAGCCAAGATGGAGGGGCAGTGACTATTAGGTTGTTCGAATTGCTGTGTTTCAGCTGTTTTGTGTAGAAATAGAGGAGCCGATCAGCGTCTTGTTTGTCAAACGAGGCTACAGCTAAGCCCTGAACACTGGAGATGCCAAGTGCGACTAAATTACGGTACGATGCATCAGGTGCTAGTTGCCTCAGGACCTGAACAGGAACCAATATAAA